GAAATTGCTGAGCAGTCGGGTTAGAACGGATAAAAGGAAGTCTTTCTTCACCCAAAGAGTGATTAACACATGGAATTCACTTCCACAGGAGGTGGCGGTGGCTACAAGCATAGACGGCTTCAAAAGGGAATTAGATACGCATATGGAACAGAAGTCCATCAGTGGCTATTAGCCACAAGGTATAGCTAGGAACTCTCAGGCTGGGGCAAGTGATGCTCTGTATTCTTGGTGCTTGGGGGGGGGGCAACACTTAGAGGGCTTCTAGTGTCCTAGCCCCACTGCTGGACCTCCTGATGGACCTCCTGTTGGACTGGATGGGCCACTGGCCTGATCCAACATTGGCTTCTCTTATGTTCTTACGTTCTTATGTGTATTACAAAGAGTGGCTGGCTTAAAATAAAATCTAATACAAAGAGTAATCATTTCACACAGAGTGGGTGGGGGCCTCTCTGGAAAAATAGGATGAACATAAACCCAAACTCAAGATACAACAGGAAGTTACAGAGGGTGTGTGTGTGTAGGGGGGGGGAATAGCCTTGAACTTGTTAACGAATCCTAATTCAGCAGTTTTGGGGAATCCAAACACAAAATTGCTGACTTAGAATTGCTGCACACCCAGCTGTGACCTTCTTTTGCTGGAATAAATGTTGTTAGCCCTCCATGTGCCACTGGAGTCCCTTTGTTGCTAGTGATAATCAGACATGAACTTGTGAGGAGGAGGAATGCTCTCTGTGAAAGTGAAAGCATTTCTTGTCCTTTCCCAGAAATGTTGTGACTTCGCTTCTAACAGGATGAATTGCTGTTACTGGGCAGGAAGCCAAGGCTCTCTGCCAAGCTACTATGTGGAATGTTTCCCCCCCCATGCTTAGTTGGCCCTGCTCCTGAAGATCTTTTTAAAAAATTAATGTTTGATGGACACCTGACTTGGGGTGCATTGGTATGTTTCACTTTTCAAGCAGCTGAGGTCTTGGTGATCCACTGCAAAAGGGGTAGGGGAGAATTACCACCAGCCTTTTAATAGTGGGGCAGAGGATGATACTTCAGCAAATGCAGCTTTGCTCACCCCTCTTTGACCAGCTGAAATTCCTTTTTCTGTCCATATTTTGGATCTATGAAATTCCCACCCCTCTCTTTGCTTCTGGACACCTTGCGAGCAATGTTCCCTCTAAGCTGTGGAGTCTTGTGAGCAAAAATTCTACTTTGTGAGCTGCTGGCATTAAATTTGTGAGCAAGCTATTTGGCTGCTGCATAGATTAGCTTGTTCCGGAGCCATCCTTCCTGAGCTAAGGCAAAAATGTGTGAGCCGAAGGCTAAAAAACTGAGCTAGCTCACACTAACTCAGCTTAGAGGGAACACTGCTTGTGAGGGCTGGAAAAATCCTCTGTGAAAGACAGTTGACATAGGACACAGTTTGGACTGGTGAGCCATGTCCTAACCTGCTGTGACTTCATAGAGTTGTTCTCTGCCCCTGATCTGTCTCATCCTTCTCTTCCATGGGCTGAGTTCTTTGCCTGGGTTTTATTTGCAGGAAACACAATAGATGCCATCCTCTGTGACAGGGGTCCGCAACCCGTTTAAGCATGCAGATACTTTTGGAATCCTGACATGGTGTGGTGTGGTAGGCGCAGATACAAAATGGCTGCTGCAGGAGGTGGAGTCAACCACAAAATGGCTGTCACAGCTTACATTCCTTTTGCTGTAGTGAGAGCCTGAGGAGGACGGACCTCAGTGGGTTACAGCGCCACAAAGTCTACCCTCCAAAGCATCCATTTTTTCTTTGTTGTCTGGAGATCAGCTGTAATGTTGGAGGATCACCAGGTCCACCTGGAGGCTGGCATCTCTAGATCAGGCCCGTACCCAGGATTTCTTGTGTTGGGAGGCATTTAAATTTCTTAAAGGTAAAATAAAGGTTCCCTCGCTCAAAAGCCAGTCGAATCCGACTCTAGGGTTGCGGTGCTCATCTCCGTTTCAAAGCCGAAGAGCCAGCGCTGTCCGAAGACGTTTCCGTGGTCATGTGGCTGGCATGACTAAACACCAAGGCGCACGGAACCCTGTTACCTTCCCACCGTAGTGGTACCTATTTATCTACTTGCAATTTCTTGCTTTCGAACTGCTAGGTTGGCAGGAGCTGGAACTAGAGACAGGAGCTCACGCCGTCATGCGGCACACTCGGGTCTCGAACTGCTGAACTACCGACCTTCCACAGCCTGCAGTTCAGCGTCTTAACCACTTAGGGGGCACTTAATTCAACTTGATTAAGTTGACTTTGATTCAATTAACCTCTCTTCAAGACTCACGTCCTTTTCTTTTACAGGGGCTGGGTGGGGAAGATAGGTGGCAAGGCAAGGTGGTGGAGGAGCACCCTGCTGCGCTCAGCCGCGTGGAGAGCCAACACCTGGGAGAGACACCTCGGGCCCCTCCATTGCTCTTTCTAAAAAAAGAAAACCTTTGCAACCCCCCCTTCATGGGCGGGCCTGAACTTTGCAATATTGTAGAGCTCAGCCTGGGCAGGTCAGTCTCGCTCGCCAGCTCCCCCTTTTCCTGGGTGAGCTGCTCCTCCTCCCTGTTTGTGGCGCTCACTCGCCTGCCTCTCCCCCTCCTCGGTGCACCTTGGGCTTAGGGCTGCCAGGCCGCCTCCTCCTCCTAGGCCACTGCTTCCTCCTCAACCGGCAGTGGCCGAGCGAGAGCCAGCCAAGCACCTGCTGCACTTTGCCACTGAGAGAGCTGGTGCCAGGGAGAGATTCCTCGGGCCCCTCCATTGCTCTTCCCCCCCCTCAAAAAACCTTTTCAAGCCCCCCTTTGTGGGCCTGAACATTACTATATTGCAGAGTTCAGCCTGAGTGCACTTTCGGGAGGGGGGGGCGCAGAGTGCAGACAGACCCCTCGCTTGCTGGCTCCCTGTTCCCCTGGGTCAGGCTGCTCCTCCTCCTTGGCCACTGCCGCCCCCTTCCCCAGTGGTGGCTTGGCGAGCAGCTGGTGCCTAGAGAGGGAGTGAGAGCCAGCCGAGCGACTGCTGCAGCCAGGAAGATGTGGTCTGGGTTGGCAGCTGGCCTGTGTGCTTGCCAGCTGGCCCACTGCTCGCGGCAGTGGGAAAGGGGAGTTTGGAAAGTGGGGGGGGGCTCACAGTTGGAGGTTCCACTGTAGCTATGGGCCTGCTCTAGATCAGTAGCAATTGTCAATGGAAGGACCCTAGTATATACCAGTGTTTAGTTGATGCAATTCCAGAAACAAACTTAACCCTTTAGGACTCAGGGTCTGCAGTCTCATAATCCAATCTGCTTTTTTTCCCATAGCAGTCTCTCATTTTGACAAGTGAATTTTTGCACAGTCCAAAAGGTAAAGTCAGAGGGACTGTGAGGACTGTGATTGCTTTTAGTGAATTGTTTAGCCAATGGGTCGCTTCCTCTTTTCAATTTAATATTACTTTTATGTTCTGTTACCTGTGTCCTTAAGTTTTGTATTGATTTTCCAACATAAAGTTTATTACAGGGGCATTGTGTGTGTGTGTGTGTGTATAAAAACCTGTATTGAGTTGCATGTTGTAAAATCCTTTAGTGTATATATTTTCTTATCTAAAGGTATGATGAAATATTTCGTATTGCATGTTAACTTACAACAATTATCCCTGGTCAAGGCTAAACGGGTGCCCCTCGGGCCAGGGACAACCAGGAGGTCTTGCTCAGCAAATTACAATTTCCACAGGCAAAATGTCCATGGGGAGGATTAGGGCTTGGTAAAACTCTTTGATGGCTAACACGTTTTTGAGTGTTACTACAGGCTAGATGTTCCCTCAGATTTTTAGTTCTTATAAAAGCAGTCGTGGGTTTCTTGTCACATAACAAAATATTCTCTAGCAAATTCCAATTTTTACAAATATTCTTCTTCAGACTGCACACTTACATTATTATAAAATGGACTAGATATAATCCTGTCACGATTTCCCCCTTGCTCATGAGTAATTTCTTCCTGTCTGGTGCCAAGGTTTTCAGATAAGCAGACTGTAGATTGTATCAGCCAAAGATATAAAAAATATGCAATCTATCACTAAACTTTGCCTCCATTCCCAAGGACTGGAAGGTAGCTAATGTAACCCCCATCTTACTTACTTCTTTTACTTTCCACGTTTACTCGGCAGGCCAAATACTATTTGTGTGTATATTGTAGCTTGACTCTTCTTTAAAAGAGGTGCTGTAAGAAAGGTTACAGCAAAAACACCACCAAACACCGGGCCCTAAGTTTCAGTTTTAGAATGCCCCCAAGTTCATCTTAACTTTATTTTTCAACAGCCAAATTCTATAAAACCAGCAGTATGTGTGTAAAGTGATGAGTGTAAAGTGCCATCAAGTCTCGGCTGAATTATGGCAACCCCAGCAAGGAGCTTTCAAGGCAAGTGAGAAGCAGGGGTGGGACAAATTAGATACAATTGCCATTTTGAAGCCATTTAAAAACACAGCATGGCAGGCTGAGGCATTCTTGTCCTCCTCCCCTCCATGTCTTTTCAAGTCTCAAAATGCCTGAAAATCATGGGGGAGAGAGGAAGGGGAAGTTGCCAACTCCAGGCTCAGAAATATGTGGAGATCTGAGGGTGGAGCTAGGGAGAGTGCGGTTTGGGGACGAATGGGATCTCGGTAGGGTATAATGCAATTCAGTCCACCTTACAAGGTAGCCATTTTCTCCAGGAGAAGTGGAATGATATCTTTTTTCCCCTCAGTTAATATTTTATTGAAATGAATAATATGTTTTAAATAAATAATAAATACATGATTTATGCAGTCTAGAGATCCGTTGTGATTCCGGGAGATCTCTAGCCCCCACCTGGAGGCTGGCAACCGTAGACATGAATGGCTTCGCTTACCCCATTTTTAAATCACCTAATTAGTCTTTAAAAGGGTAGTGGCTTACACACGTCGAATCTGTGGCTGCCATCACATCTAGTTTGGCCCTTAGGGAAAATCACTCACATAGCAAATTTCCTAACCTCCTTGTTGTTACTTTATTAGTTTTCAAGATGGCAGCTATTAAGATGTGGTAAATCGTAAGTTGGTGTCTCAATGCTGATGAGCGGTCAGTGAACCCTACAGCATCTCTTCCTTCTATCAATGAAAAAAAGATGGATCAAGGAACAAAATGTCAAGAACCCAACAAAGATGAAGAATTCATCAGGCATTTGAGCTGTGATAAAGCAAAGGAAGGTAATAACACCCAAAGCACCAATGGAGTCAGAAGTGTTTTCAAAAATGGAGCGAATGTCAAGCTTAAGTAGGGTTGTAAGGTCCACCTGGCCACCAGTGGGGGATGGGGGGAGGCATAGGGTTACCAGGTCTGGATTGGAAAAACTCCTGGAGATTTGGTGATGGAGCCTGGGGAGGACAGGGACCTCAGTGGGGTACAATGCCATAGAGTCCGCCCTCCAAAGCATCCATTTTCTCCAGAGGAACTGATCTCTGTGGTCTGGAGATGAGCTGTAATTTTGGGGGATCCCCAGGTCCCACCTGGAGGTGGGAGGATCAGAAGGTAGGTGAGAGCCAATCCAGTGTGGAGGAATGTTACAACTGATCGATGGAGACAGAACTGCTAGGGATTCTTTGATTGGCTTTGTTGTACTACACACAGTGCCCCTTTTTTGTGTTTTTAATGTTTAAGTGGTTGTATCTCACATTTCTCCCCATAATATTTATATCCCCTTACGTCCTCAGTGGGGACCCAAATATCATTCTCCCTTCCTCCTTTTTCTTCTCACCACAACAACCCTGTGAGAAAGGTTGAGAGGACGACTGGCCTAAGGTCACCAGCAATATTCCATGACAGAGTAGGAATTAACACCAGGGTCACCCAGATCCTACAATGTGGGTCGGGACCCAAAAGCAGGCTGCAAAGCCTCTGAAATTAGATCGTGGGCCAGCTCTCCCTAATGGCCATCCCTGCCTTTTCCATTGCTCTCTTTTGTATTTGGAAACCAAGCTCTCACCCTGGAAGCAATATCTTCCATGTCATACATTAGTTGGTATTTTCCCCCTTCCCTGCATATACATGTTGATCATGTAAAACATGTCCTGATGCTTACTAGAGTAATTTTCTTAGAATCTTAAGATGGATTAGAGGGGTTAATGGAAAAGTAGAGGGCGGTCAAAGGCTGGGATGTAGCCTCCATAGGCAAAGGCTGTGTGTATCGGAATGCCACTTGCTTGGGGTTCATAGTAGGAACAGCTGCGATGTGAGTTGGTTTCTCAAAAACATCTGGCTAGCCACTGTAGATAATGGAATGATGAACTAGGTGGCTGCCAAAGTCATAGTTTGCCTAGGGTGCCAAAAAACCTTGGGCTGACCCTGGATGGGTCACCATACAAAGTACATTTGGACTTGTGGGTCTCCATACTGAAAAGGTTGGGAACCTCTGCACCGCACCGGCTGTCCATAAGCGTAGTCAAGGGTAGCTAGCGAGACAAAAGGGTAAAATATCTGGACACAGTGCTTTAGATAAACTGGCATATCAGTGGACAAACATCTGCTGCTATGCTTATTGCTGATCTGGGTGAAGAAAAGTAACAACTGATGTGCACAAGCCCAGGCTATGCATTGTTAAACTGCTCAGAGTTGTCATAATGTGGATGTTTATATTATATTTTATATGTTTTAATTATGGCACGGTAATTACCCTGCCCTGAGCCCACTGGGAAGGACGGGATACAAATGTGAAAAATAAATAAATAAATAAATAAAATAACTTGCAAAAGAACCACAACACCTAACACAAATACCATCCACGTGTTGAGATAATTTGAAGAAGGCTGCCAAGTTATCTCAGATGAATCAAGGTGTTGTAACCATCACACCTGAGTATCTTTGGCAGCCTCCGTTGGGCAGCCCCAACAATATTAATGTTGTTTCGTTTCTTAGGTTGTCAAGCTTTCTCCAGGAAACACTGGCGTAATGGGATAGCATTAGGTGCTATGATTATCCTGATTGTTGTGATTGGTTTGGCAACTGCTCTGGGCGGTGAGTTTCATTCTCTCTCTGTCAAGTTCCCACCTGTGAGACATGGCATATAAATTCTATTTTGAACACGGGTTGCTAATCGATAATGGTCTATTAAATGCTGTATTAAAATACTCATAGGTCTGCTTCTAAAGCAGCTGGACCAAGAAACCAGCTAATTTTGCAAATGGCGACTGTCCCTGAAGCCATCTAGGCATTCAGCAACTTCAGTCTGAAATTTCCAAAGCCTGGTTAGAAAAAGATAAGTGCTTGTAAATGTGAGTGTATCTGTGTGTGTGTGTACACAGCAGAAGTAACAGCCCTCAGCCATCGTGATATGTGCTTGAACTTCTTAGTCTAGCCAGCCTCTTCTATTGTTGGAAGTGGGGGACTTTCCGCTGTATCCTGTTTCAAACTTCAGAGAGATGGCACTATAGACTTAGATAGAGAGGTCGGGACACACACACAGCATCCTTTCCTTCCTACTATCTGATACTATCCCTTTGAAGTAGGATGCTATCCTTAGGGACAAGACTTCCTTCCTTCCGGTTTGACACCTCTCTCTCACCCACGCAAAAGAGCACACACTCACCATCCTTGCCATCATGGATGTAGGACAGGCATTCTCCATCTGCATAGCTAGTTTAGATTAGATTCTATCCCTGTCTCTCAGCCTATATTATCTAGAATGTAGTTCCTTGAATAAAGGACTCTTGTTAGTTCGAAACTGACAAGTGGCTCTGTGTAAATGTGTACGTTTGCTAGCACATGGGAAGCTGCTGCTGCATGTAGCCTGTTGCACTCTGCTATGTATAGAGATTCCTGGCTGTACCATAGCAGTGAATCTAACATCTATCGCCCTTCCCCAGCTGGCGTTTCAAGGTAAGGGAAGCAACCCAGATTCTGCTGAGACCACTGGAGCCCTGAAGCTGTCCGCAAGGAACGTCTGGTACTGAGCTAGAATTGGGCTTGCCATAGTTGGTCAGTAACGAGCAGGACTAAAATAGATGGAGACAAGCAAAGGAGGTGAAAGGCGTTGTGACCTCACTAGTCCTACAAAGGAGAAGATCCAGCCTTGCAGGGGCGGGGCAGGGGTCTACTTTCCATCATCGGTGGGGCTCTTGCACGACTGCTTGTGTACATTATTCAGTCTGGCCAACCTAACTTTGGGGTGAGTGTGAAGTGTGAATGAGGATAGCATAGGATGCACAAATAAAGCTTTATTTGATTTAATAGATCCTTGCCTGGGGATCTCCCATCTGTTCACTGCTGGATAAGGAGTCCACAGGCCCTGAGCCGTCTCTGGGGTCTGATTAGCCTTGGAACAGAAAATTAATAATAATAATAATAATAATAATAATAATAATAATAATAATAATAATAATACTTTCCGTTTATTAATCGATAATAATAATACTTTAATGTTTGTAGGGGATAGGGAAGACAACATATATTCATTTTAATTGCACCCGCCGACACTGCCCAGTGTAGAACGTCTGGCTTCGTCATTGTCCGGCACGGCTGCTTTGCTGGCCAGGCTCCAGGACCCGTATTTCTATCGCCACACTGCCACTGCCTGGCCGGAACGTCCATTGCAGGAGTTCTTTCTGTAGCCGGCAAGCTTGTTTTGCCTTACAAGCCTTGATCAGGACGTCTCCAGAAGGGAGATTGGCGTGCCCACCCTCGCTAAGGAGCGGTTCCCATTTTATCTACTCGCCGAAACTTTCGAATCGCTGGGTGGACGATGAGCTGGGGACAACAGGCTGGCTGCTCACACCAGCGCGGGGCTTGAACTAACACAGTTCAGATGTTAAGGCAGTGGGATATACCCACTGTGCCACCGCTCCCCTCAGTGGCCTCAGGTGCGATTTTGCATTTAACAGTGCCAACCTATCCTTTAAAGTTTTATGTTGTACTTGTGTATGCTTTCTAGTAATGCAGCAGACGCTTCAAATGCCCGCCCCTTGTTTCTTCCTGTATATCTAGGTGCCATTCCCACCTCAGCCAGGGCCAGTTCCAGGTTTTTGTAGGCCCTGGTCAAAAGAGTATAAGTAGGCCCCCTTTCCCACTTTGAGTTCCCGTTAGGAAGAAAGATCCAGGTGATCAGCCATGTTGGTCTGAAGCAGTAGAACAAATTTAGAGTCCAGTGGGGCACCTTTAAGACCAACAAAGGCTTATTCAAGGAGAAAGGAAGAAAGACGGGGTACAAATGAAGTAAACAGACAAGTTATCTAAAAAGAATCCTGAGAGATACATTAGCAAAAGCTATAGTGACTTGGTGAAGATTATACAGTGAGCCAAAATTAAGGCTGAGTGATGAGGCCCACCAGCGGCTCTCACTGGTGAGTGGGTGCCCACCTAAGCCTACCCTTGATGCCACCCCTGACACCACCCTCAATACAAGTTAAAGTGTGCCGTCAAGTCACAGCTGACCCATGGCAACCCTCGTGGAGTTTTCAGTGCAAGAGATGAGCAGAGGGGCTTTGCCATTCCTAGCCTCTGTGTAGCGACCCTGGAATTCCTTGGTGGCCTCCCATGTAAGTAGTGAGCTTCTCAACCCTGCTTAGCAGCCAGTCTCTAATAAGACCAAGCTTGTCTGCACTATTAGGTCTGCTTATTGCCCTCCCCCATAGCGCAAAACAAAGTGTGCGAGTACAGGAAACAGAATAACAATACTTTGTGCTTCACAAATGCAGTTGTATGTGTCAGTCAGCTCATCCATTGGACTCAGCAACAGAAGGCAGTGTGTGTGTGTATGTGTGTGTTCAGTATAAACATGCAAGTCTGTGTTTTCTTTGCCGGTAGAGGGAAGCAAGCCACTTTGGCCTCTGCTGTGCTGAAACCAAGGTATCATTCTTTAATAACTGATGTTTGCAGTCCTTGAATATATTTCATGCATGGGGTATATAGTTCTCACATTCAAGGAGGCACAAGGATTGGTTGTGTGTGTTTATTAAAAAGGGTTTGTGTTGATTTGTTTCCTTGTCTTCTACTCTTTCAGTCACAGGTTCAGAACCATGTTCAGTTGTCACTTATGCCTCATGCCCCAATGGATGGATTGGATACCTGGGGATATGCTACTACTTCTCTGAAGATGAAGCAGACTGGCTTTCAAGCCTCAGAAACTGCTCCTCGCTAGGGGCCTCCCTGTCAACCATCGAAACACACTGGGAAATGGTGAGGGAAAGACAGGCACTGTGTTTCTCAGAAGTCTTTACCAGAATCTCACCCCCACATCACTGGCCACAAGCGGCAACATGTTACCGCTTGTGGCCAGTGATGTGGGGGTGAGATTTCCTGTTTTGAAAGAAGGGCTGGTGTCAGCATTCCTTGAGGTGAGGCAACTGGCAGGGCCCCCCAACCACATGCTGCCAGGGAAGGGCCTACAGGTGGTGTGCAATGGTGGCGCTTCTGACAGAGACTGTGGTGGTGTTTCCTGTTGACACACACTACCCAGCACCATCTGGGAAATGGCGTACAGGCAGGGGAAGGAAGAACACACAGGCAGGTGGGGAAGTGGATGGGCTTGAAGGAAGGCACAGGTGGGAGAGAGAGCGGGGGGGGGGGGCCCTGGGCACTCTGCCTAGCCCCCCCCTAAAAAAACCCAAAAAACTGCCGTCAGACCTGTTTGAAAGTTTAGAGGTTTTCCAAATTTGAAATTTAAGAATTTAAATGGGAATACTATAGATGCCACCCAGTTTACTTCCACTCTCACTGAAATAACTAAATGGACAGGGAGCAGTGAACATAATTAACTTTAATGTGGGTAATGCTTTGCTAGTGTATATGTGACTACTACCCAGAAACATTTGGTTTGTGAGATTAGGAAATGCCGTACTTGTTAACTGAAACAATACTTGGTAACAAGAGAGACAGACAGACAGGTCTCTCAGCCACATACAAAATTAAAGAAAAATGCCCTTGAGATCCAGAAGCTGAAACTCAGGTGGCAGATCTTTAAATCCAAGTTCAGCATTTAAAAATTCTAGAGCTTTGATTCTGTGGGGAAGATTGCCAATCAGAGGTTCAAAAATGTGAGTGAAAATTTCCATAGAGCATGCTTCAGTTCTGTGCAAAAAATGTCATTGTTATAGCCAGGGCTTTTTTTGTAGAAAAAGCCCAGCAGGAACTCATTAGCATAATAGGCCACACCAAACAGCAGGGACTCATTAGCATAATAGGCCACACCTCTGACAGCAGAACTCATTGGCATATTAGGCCACACCTCCATGTTACCAGAAGTGTGCTCATCCAGCCACACCCACCTTATGCTTCTTATTCTGTTTGCCTTGTCTGTTGTCAAAACCCAGGGCTTTTTTGTAGCAGGAACTCCTTTGCATGTTAGGCCACACACCCCTAATGTAGCCAATCCTAATGAGTTTCTGCTGTTGGATGTGGCCTATTATGCTAATGAGTTCCTGCTGGGCATGGCCAACTTGGGAGCCAGCCGGAACTCCGTTCCTGTGCGTTCCTGCCCAAAAATAGCACTTGGAATTACCACAGGAACAAGGCCGGTCACATCCCTTCAGCCAGACCTACCTGACAGGATTATTATGAGTATAAAAATGGAGGAGAGGAGAACAACGTAATCCGCTTTGTTTCTCCATTAATAATAATAATCTTTCAATTTCACCATTGAGGAGAATGGTGGAGTATAAAAGTCATTATAAATCAAATGTTGGCTACAGTTTGCAAAATGGGATGATCACTAGGCTTGCCAGCTCCGGGTTGGGAAATTCTTGGAGAATTTGGGAGTGGATTCTGGAGAGGGCGGTATTTGGGGACAGCAGGGTGCTCATCAGGGTACAATGCCAGAGAGTCCATCTTACAAAGCAGCCATTTTCTCAGGAGAACTGATCTCTATCGTCTAAGGATCAGTTGTAGTGGTGGGTGATCTCCAGGCCCCATCTGGAAGCTGGCAACCCTAATCACACTTGCTGTTGGTTCATCCAGGATTGCTGCAGCTCTTGGCAGGAGGCAAAGCTACTCATTTCAGTATTCAATATACCCTTAAAGTATTCAGTGTACCATTAAATACTGGAAGCCTGGGGAACTACAGGATTGGCAAGAGGAGCAAGCAAGGGCAGAGCTCCTAGTATTAGTAATAAAATAGCTTAATTAGATTGTAAATTAATGGGAAAATGTTATATTAGATGTAGGCCTCTTTGGGAGTATACCAGGAATAGGTATAAGGTTTGTTAGAAGAAAAAGAGGAAAAGGACTCTCAAAGTGGCTTACAATCCCCTTCCCTTCCTCTCCCCACAACAGGCACCCTGAGAGGTAGGTGGGGCTGAGAGAGTTCTGAGAAAACTATGACTGGCCCAGGGTCACCCAGCAGGGTCACCCAGCTTATCACAAGATAAACTCTTTCGAAACACCACTGCAGCACTTCTCACCAGCAACTGGATTTGGTGTTAGTACAGCATCCTTTATACTGTCTTCTTAACGAACGTCATTAACCTAATTAATCGGAGCATTTTTGTTCACCCCAAAGGATTTCCTGCTGCGTTATAAGGGTCCCATTTATCACTGGATCGGCCTTAGGAAAGATCAAGGGAAGCCTTGGGAATGGACAGACGGGAGAGTCTTCAACAACACGCTGTGAGTTTGATCTTCCTTTTTCATTCTTTAGCTTTGGAGGACTCATGTTGGAGATAACTGAACTCCGGTTGGAGGACTCTGAACTCTCATGATCAAGGCTTTGCTAAGGTGGCGGGGAAAGGAGTGTTGGAAGCAAAGAGGTGACTAGCGGTCTTGGCATAGGGTTTATACTAGTGTGTTTTTCCTCCTAGAGGTAAAAGGAAAATTTGTTAATATTTCTTTACTTATTAGATTTTTTTAGTTGCCACTCCCCCGAAGGGTCTCATGGTGACTTACAATATTAAAACCAATAAGGCAAAGCATAAAAACAAATATAAAACATTAACATTAAACTATGAAATTACTAAAATATGTGGCTATCACCATACCACTATTAAAACAACCCAAACGTGGATGCTCTCCAAAGGCCAACCTGAACAATTCAGCCTTGGATACCCTGCAGAAACTAAACAAGTCTGGCAGGGCATGGGTGTCATCCGGGAGTGCATTCCACAGGGTAGGGGCCACAACTGAGAATTTCTTTCCTCTGGTAATCGTTCTGCCATCCTGGGGCCAGGCTCCTGCAAGGGGCCCCTAGACAATGACCAAAGGGAGTGTGTGCGGGGGGTTGTAACGGGAGAAGCAGTCCCTTAGGTATGAGGGTCCCAGACTATTAAGGGCTTTAAAGGTTAACACCAAAACCTGGTAGCTGCATTTTGGACCACCTGCAGTTTCTGAAGCATTTTCAAGGTTCGCTCTACGTAAATTGAAGTAGTCCAGTCTAGAGGTGACTGTTGCATGGATCAATGTAGCAAGGTGTGACCCAGACTAATGAGCCAGTTGGCTGGCCTGGCATAGGTAAAAAACCACTGACTGTGCTACCATGGACATTTGTTTATCCGATGATAGCACAGAATCCAGCCACACCCCCAAGGCTCTTTACAGCATCTACGGCTGTCAACTGGACACGGTTGAGTCTTGGGGGTGACTCTCCAGCTAGCATCTCAGTCTTTCCCAGCCACATGACCTCCATCTCGAATGGATTCAACTTCAGCCAGCTCCCCCTTAACCATTGGGCTACCGCATCCAGGCACTGGGATAGTGCTGAGAGCCCTGCTACTAGCTACTTATCCAGCAGGAGGAAAAGTTGAGTCTCATCAGCATATTGATGGCACCCAACACCAAACTTCCTGACGATCTCAGCAAGAAGGTGCATATGTATGTTAAATAACCTTGGAGAGAGGATTGAACCTGGGGACCCCACAATTCAGGTCTCGTTGGGAAGACCTCTCCTTCCTGATAGCAACCCTCTGAGAGCATTGTTGGAGGAACGAGTAGAACCTTACCACCAGGGAGGCAAGGTGGCTGATCAGGACCAAATGGTCAACTATATCGAAGGCCGCTGATAGAGCCAGAAGGGTCAATATGGCCAGCATGCCTTTATCCAGATGTGAATGGAGATTGTCAGCCAGTGTTGTCTCGGTCCCAGAGCCAGGCCTGAAGCCCAATTGAAAATGGTCGAGGGCAGAGGTCTCATCCAGGAAAACCTGGAGCTGCTAAGCCACTGCTCACTCAATTATCTTCCTCAGAAAAGGTAGATTAGACACTGTGGAATAATTGGCCAGCTCCTTTTTATCTAGGAAGGTTTCTTTAGCAAAGGTCTAACAATCGTCTCCGTAAAAGAGCTTGGAAAACAACCCTGTGAGAGAGACAATTTAATGATCTGTCTCAGAGGGCCACGTACCAGTTTGTGGCGTGATTTTACCAGCCACAAGGGACAAGGATCCAAGGAGCAGGTAGTTGGCTTCACAGGTGTCAGGATCCTTTCAACATCCGTAAGGGTGAATAGGCCAAAAGAGTTCAAAAAATAACCAGGCAGTGCAAGTGGGGAACCCCCATCCCACTACTGTTATCAAATTCAGCAGCCAACTCCAGGCAGAGCTTGGAAACTTTACCTGCCAAAAGGTTTGCAAATGAATCACAGCTGAGAGCCAAATCAGTACCAGTTTTAGGACACACCAAAGGAGTGGTCAATTGTCGAACCAGTCTGAATAACTGAGCTGGTTGCAGGCTAGCAGGCACAATGGAGGCAGCAAAATAATCTTTTTTCGCCACTTTCACTGCCACCTCGTAGGCCTTCAGTTGGGCTCTGTAGTGTGTTTTCACAGCTTCATTCTGTCTTCGTCGCCAATTCTGCTCTAGCAGTCTGAGCAACCTTTTAAAATCTCTCATTATACCAGTGAGCCACGGGGGGCGCAGAGTGCATTGGGGAGCAATCCAATCGATAGCTTCCTGAAGACCTCTGTTCCAAATCTCAGTCAGCTTATCAAAGGAACTGCCAGCAGGTCCAGATAAATCCCTCAGAGCACCAGGATCCATTAGTCTCTGCAGGTGAGCATAAATATGCTCATTGCTTCCCCAGGGGGAAGTGGCCACCCCCAAACTGACCCTCACGAGGAAGTGATCTGACCATGGCACTGGTTCACAAACAACTGTGCTATTCAGATTGCAAAAGATCAAATCTAGCGTGTGACCAATAAACCTGGGAGAGTCCCAGTGTTGCCATGGCAGCCGTGAAGTCTGCAGCTGCACCAAGTAAGGAAGTCTCTTCTGCATGGACGTTAAAAGCCCCCCAAGATCAACAGTCTTGGGAAACGCAGTGTCCACTCAGCTACAGCCTCTGATCGCCTCAGAAGGGAGTCCACTGGTGAGCTGGATGGACCGTACACCAGCCAGGACTCCCGCCCCTCTCCCTGACACCCCATGCCAGGCCAACACATTCAAGTTCAGTGGTGTTTGGCCCAGGGGTCCTCTGGAAGGGAACACAGTTTCAGATGAAGACTCCACTCCCCCCCATCCCTCAGTTTGATGTTGATGGAGGATCAGGTATCCTGGGGGAGTAAGCTGGGTGAGAGGAACTGCCTCATCCTCACCTACCCAGGTTTTGGACAAGCAAGGTAGGTCAAAATACACTTCCCGTATAGTCTCCTGGACAATTGTGGTCTCATTTCTTTTCTCAATTAATATTTTATTGAGATTTTGTAAATATTAAAAATAATGCAAAAATGCACAGCAAATTTATACAGCTCATATAATGGAACTTAACACCAAGTTAGTAGTACATAAAAGAACCAGAGATTGCTTTAAAAAAACACACCACTGCATGGAGGTTGAGATGCAGAACATAGTAACTAGTGCATAGGTTTTACCACAAACATAAGTCATTGATTACTTTAGGAATTCCCTGTTGAGAGGTCAAATTCTCTAAGATGGGGGACCAGATAGATGTAAAATTAGACAGTGACAAGCAATGTTCCCTCTAAGCTGTGGAGTCTTGTGAGCAAAAATTCTACTTTCTGAGCTACTGGCATTAAATTTGTGAGCAAGCGATTTGGCTACTGCATAACTTAGTTTGCTCTGGAGCCATCCTTCCTGAGCTAGGACAAAAATGGGTGAGCCGGAGGCTAAAAGAACTGAGCTAGCTCACACTCAGCTTAGAGGGAACACTGGTGACAAGTGCTTGTCACAATGTTTAAGACGTGGTCTTATTTCTTACTGACTTGGCATTATACAGCATCAGGGTCAAAGAGAAGGGAATTAACTGGGCACACTGCCATCCGACACGTTCTCCTGTGTTGCCTCCAAACTTCTGACTTCCAGATAAATTTGCACCAAGGCTTCAAATGTTATTGACATTCAGCAATAGCCATTATAATAGCGTTTTGCCATCTTCTTGCAGGTTTGACATTATTGAGGGGGGATACTGCGCCTACCTGAATGATGTGGCAGTCATGTCCTCGTGGTGCAAGACCAAGAAGAACTGGATCTGCAGCAAGCCGGATGCTAATGTGCAGGAAAGGAAGCAGGTGGAAAAGAGAGATGTAAAGCAGGGCTGCGTGAAGGATGGTTTCAAGTAATGAATGAGGAGGAAAAAATGCATACATCACATTCAACAATATACTTACTATAATATGTTATCTCTGTCACATGTGTCTGAAACTGGAGAACATAAGGGACGATGGCCAGGGATGCAATCCGAAGCACTTCTGTAGGCAGCCACCAGAGGGTGCCCTGTTTCAGTAAACATCTGGAGAGGATTTACAAAGAAAGTTTTGAGAGAATTCGGTTGGAAGTCTGGACAGTATCTAGAAATATAAGAACCATTTTGATTGGGCAGCAAAAAAACCCAACACAAGTTAAAGGGATGTAAGAAATGAATGAGCAGAATACTTAGTCGTGGCTGAAGTACGTTCAGAGATGTGGGCTATCATTTAATAGCCGATAAATTTCAAGATGGGTAGCAGTGTTTGTCTATAGTAGTAGGAAAGAGCAAGAGTCCAGTAGCGCCTGAAAGACTAACAGGATCTGTGGCAGGGGTAGGAGCTTTTGAGAGTCACTGGTCAGTTCCTCAGACAGCCAATAAATAGTTATGTGCTTGGGGTATTTTTATTCATTGATGCTGATCCATTTCTCTGCCAGTTAAAAAATAGTAACAACAAGCAAGGACCTGTGAGAAATTCAAGGGGAAATCCTCCCCACCCACGCACTTCAAGTCTCTCTCTGCACTCTCTTCCATACTACCTACTCTGTTGCCGCTGCTGCTGCCTCCAAGAGGAAAGGAAGAATCCTGCTGGGGGAGAATAGGTGCTGAGTATGGACAGCACTTGAACTGGGATGGAGCCCTCAGTCACCAGGCTGCCAACCCAGTCCAGACACTGCCGACACTCGGCACTCAACATCTGCTTTCTCCAGCAGGTTTCCTTCCCTCCTGGAGGCTGCAGCTACTGACATAAGCTAGTATTTTGTGTACCATTGTGCTGCTTCTACATTTTTTTATATATAAATCTTTATTTTAATTTTCAATAAACCGAATAAAGCAGTAACAACCAACTGTAATAGAAAAAACAATAATCATGTGAGAGAAAAGTAAAATACATATTAAAAACAAGAATTTCAAGACCCATGTTCATTTGCATAGCCTACTGCAGACTACATTTGAGCATATCAAGAGTGTTTAGCTTGAAATAAAATAAAAATCTTACAAGACGACATGTACTGCAATGTCTAGCATAAAAAACTGAAAATTCTCTTAATCCCAAACTTTTGCACAAAAAACCCCTATAATATTATAAAAGTAGCAAGCCTTGACCTGGATAGCCATATCTTGTCACATCTCAGAAGCCAAGCAGGGTCTGTCCTGGCCCGTATTTGGATGGGAGACCTCCAAGGAGTACCAGAGTTGTGAGGCAGAGGCAGGCAATGGCAAACCAACTCTGAACATCTCTTTCCTTGAAAACCCTACAGGGTCGCCGTAAGTCAGCCACAACTTGATGGCAAAAAAAGCAACTGTTTACTTATGCCAACTAAAATGTATATGCTGTGCCTTTCTACCCCCTTGGGACAAGTCTGGAGCTTTGGAATAAGATGTCATCAATATGCAGAGGACACCCAGCTACATGTCTCTTCCATTCAGCACCTGGAAGCAGCCTGCTCTGTTCTGGGCTGCTGTCTGTCTGTCTGCTGTGGCTCAGTCAAGAAAAGACAGATGCTGCTGGTTGCCAAGGATTCCAGTTCAGCTGATGGTGTGTTAGTCCTCCATCTCGGGATGAGTCATTCTTTGTGGAATTCAGTGAAGACCTTGGGTATGCTACAGAATCCAGCTCTACAGTTTGAAAAGCAGGTTGGTGTAGGGCAAAGATAGATTCTCTCAACTGAATCTATTATGGAAACTAACTCTGTTTCCAACCCCCCCCCCCCAGCCTAGCAACACTGATCCATTTTTCAGTAACCTCAAGGGTAGACTGCTGTAATCAGTGTTCCCTCTAAGCTGAGTCAGTGTGAGCTAGCTCACAGTATTTTAGCCTCCGGCTCACACATTTTTGCCTTCGCTCAGGAAGGAGGGCTCCAGAGCAAACTGATTTATGCAGCAGCCAAATCACTTGCCCACAACTTTGATGCTGGTAGCTCACAAAATAGAATTTTTGCTCACAAGACTCCACAGCTTAGAGGGAACATTGGCTGTAATGTGATGTAGTATGGAGCTGCCCTTGAAGACTATTTGGAAACTTTAGAGGGTGCAAAGCAGCATGGCTGTTGTCTTAGATTTCTATCCTGACCTCTAAGATGGAGCAGTGGTACATTTGGCAGTGTCAAGCTTTTTTCGGGGGCAGCTCCCATGTAAAATACCCGCATGGAGAATGTTAGGAAGGCCACTGAAATGGGTTAAGCATTTTGACACTGACTGGGTTTTGCCGGTACTTGCTGGTATTTTTCTCCTAGGGGCAGCACCCCACCAAGTGTCCTTGGTCCTGCAACGATGCTCCGCCCCAAGGCCGTACACAAAGTCGGAGCCATTCTTCTGATTGCCACCTCTCCTGCCCCTGCCATCCTTGCCAAAAGCCAGATGCACACCGACAGCGTGGCTGGCCTCAAATTCCAACTAGGGAGACCCAAAAGGAAAACTCCTCCCCCTGGTCTGCCCACCACAGCCAGTCCCCGATTGGCCAGCCGGGGAGGAAATCCAGCAGAGGCCCAGACGGAGGCTCCTGTGAGGCCCTCTGCCACGCTCCCAGCAGCAAATGGGCCTCAGGTGAGTCCGGGAGCCAGGTTTTTGGAGTGTTTTTCCTGATACCTGGTTCTATATTATTTTCTCATTGTTTTAATGGATCCGTTTCCATAAGAACATAAGAGATGCCAATGTTGGATCAGGCCAAAGGCCCATCCAGTCCAACACTCTGTGTCTCACAGTGGCCAGAAATACCAGGTGCCATCAGGAGGTCCACCAGTGGGGCCAGGACATTAGAAGCCCTCCCACTGTTGACCCCCCCCCTCAAGCACCAAGAAGACAGAGCATCACTTGCCCCAGAGCCCCTATCTATACCTTGTGGCCAATAGCCACTGATGGACCTTTGCTCCATATGCCTATCTAATCCCCTTTTGAAGCCGTCCATGCTTGTAGCCGCCACCACTTCCTGTGGCAGTGAATTCCAAGTGTTAATCACTCTTTGGGTGAAGAAGTACTTCCTTTTATCCGTTCTAACCCGACCGCTCAGCAATTTCATGGAGTGCCCACGAGTTCTTGTATTGTGAGAAAGGGAGAAAAGTACCTCTTTCTCTACCTGCTCTTTCCCATGCATAATCTTGTAAACCTCGATCGTGTCACCCCTCAGTCGTCGTTTCTCCAAGCTAAAGAGCCCTAAGCGCTTTAACCTTTCCTCATAGGGAAAGTGTTCAACCCTTTTATCATTCGAGTTGCCCTTTTCTGCTCTTTTTCCAAAGCTATAATATCCTTTTTAAGGTGTGGTGACCAGAACTAGACTTGTTATCTACTTGTTATCTACACCTTGAGAGGCCTTGTCTTATTTATTTAATTCATTTGTGCCCCCCCTCTCTTCCCAGTGGGCACCCAAAGTGGCCCACATTGTTCTCCTCCCCTCCATTTTATCCTTTTATTGCTGGAGAGGGGCTAAAATGAACCAATGAACTGCTCCCAAACTGTCCTCTTTATCTTTATGCTTTTTGGCATTCTCAGAATGGTTCATGAACGTCTGTAAAATGCAACCGATTCCATTTTTAAACTAAAAATACCTTTCAGCTTAAAATCTCAAACTATAAAATTGATTGGATGTAGCATTACAAAGTCCATCTTGGGAGATTTCTGGAAAGTTGGAAGTGGTGTTGGGGGGCGCAGAATTTTTTGGGGGGAGAAGAGGAGGAGGAGGAGATTGGATTTATACCCTGCCCTAATCACTACCCAAAGGAGTCTCAGAGTGGCTTATAATATCCTTCCCCTCCCCACAACAGACACCCTATGAGGTAGGTGGGGCTGAGAGAGCTCTGAGAGAACAGCTCTGGAAAGATCTTATGACTGACCCAGGGTCACACCAGCAGCTGCATGTGGAGGAGTGGGGAATCAAACACAGTTCTCCCAGATCAGAGTCCACGCTCCTAACCACTATACCAAATTGACACTACACCAAACTGAGAGAGAGTTCAAGAGAGATGTGATACCATAGGAGTCCAGCCTCTGAAGCTGTCATTTCTTCCAGGAGAACTGATCCCTGTAATCTGGAGATCAATTCTGGGAGAACTCCAGGCCCCATCTGGAGATTGGCAACCCTAGATGGAACTCATGGAAAACTTCCATTAATGGAAGAGGGGAAAGCAATTTCCACTTATTTCTCCCCTCCTGTCACAGACCTCCAACAGCCAACTCATTCTGTTCCTGAGGTCCTGTCTGCCACGCCCCCATCAGTTGCCCTGATGTCAAGCAAGATCTGGATCAATAGTATATTAACATAAGAGAAGAAGCCATGTTGGATCAAGCCAATGACCCATCCAGTGTAACACTCTGTCACACAGTGGCCAAACCCCAGGTGCCATCAGGAGATCCACCAGTGGGGCCAGGACACAAAAAGCCCTCTCACCGTCCGTCCCCTCCCCCCCAAGCACAAAGAGTATAGAACATCACTTGCCCCAGATTGAGAGTTTCTATCTATGCCTTGTGTTTAATAGCCACTGATGGACTTCTGCTCCATATGTTTATCCAATTCCCCTCTTGAAGTTCAACATAATGTTGAACTTCTGGCTGCTTCTACAAGGTGTTCAGCGGAACAGCAGAAAGACCAAAGCCCCAAGGCTAAGGTGCTTGCACTTCTCTTAAATAATGGCTCACATCCAACATATACTAGAACACTGGTCCAGTTCCCTCCAATAATGAAGATGGCTTGCCTCGGGGACTCAGCAGTGCTGCTTTTCTGAATGTTTTGTGGGGTCAGAAGACTTTCCAGGCCCTTAGAATGAGGAGGAGGACTGGACAATCATATGGTGGGGTGGGGGCAGGAAGAAACTATTGGGGACATCTAGTAGTTAATATACTAATGTTGCACAGTCATAGAGCTTGGTACCGCATGAAGTAAATAAACTCCAAACAAGTATATGGCAAAAAAGGTTAAAACATTTAATAAAATAGAGTCAATTCACATACATGTTGCAGAAGGGATAGAAGCCTAATCTAAAGAATACTATTCCCTATCACAAGCTAATCCAACAGCATTTGTGTAGTAGTAAGATGGCATGGCTTCCAAAGGAGAGACCTGTACATGCATCCTGCTCCTTGCAGGTCCTTGAGAAAAGAGAGAACATAAGAGAAGCCATGTTGGCTTCTGTGACAGTGGCCAAAACCCAGGTGCCATCAGGAGGTCCAGCAGAGGGGCAGGGGCTCCAAAATCCCTCCCATTGTTGCCCCCCAAGCACCAAGAATAGAGAGCATCACTTGCCCCAGACATAGTGTTCCATCTATACCTTGTGGCTAATAGCCACTGATGGACCTCTGCTCCATATGTTTATCCAATCCCCTCTTGAAGCTGTCTATGCTTGTAACAGAGGAACACAAAGGACAGAGGATGAGAAGGAGGAGTCACAGAGAAGCTCCTAGCTTAGAAAGTAGTTTAGCTTAGACAAAAGAGTAGCTTAGACAAAGACAGAGCTTAGCTTAGTTTAGACAAAGAAGGTAACACACATGCACATCTAGAGCAATGTAGTGTGCCCTATCCAGGCATTTCCAAGCATTACCTTAACCAGTGTTTCCTCTAAGCTGAGTTAGTGTGAGCTAGCTCAGTTTTTTTAGCACACATTTTTGTCTGAGCTCAGGAAGGATGGTTCCAGAACAAACTAATTTATGCAGTAGCTAAATCGCTCGCTCACAACTTTAATGCCAGTAGCTCACAAAGTAGAATTTTTGCTCACAAAACTCCATAGCTTAGAGGGAGCATTGAACCTCAACGGAAAGAAGCAAGCACAAGTGTTCTGCTCTTACTTAGAGTACTGAGTGGTCCACAGATCAGTGTCTCTAAAAAAAACCTCTCTAGGCACTACACTTTTTAGGTTGATTTTTAGACAGTAGTAGATTTGCGACAAATCCAGTGATGCTCAGTGCTGCATCTTGAAGAGCTGGCTTTGCCTTCATCATTCAAGTAG